ATCCGTTAATCATTTAATAAACATTACATCATGTAGATCATTCCTTCTCCTAAAAGTTTATCCTTTCCGGTTAATTTTATCCAATCATGTGACTTTCTATCGTTTGATCTTTTATTCCATATTATTCCTCCATATTATGCGATTACTCCAGTATCTATGGCTACACCGTAATACATAATCACATGTTATATATTAAAATTAGAAATTTTATATTAAAATTGAAAAATCCTATTACAAATAGCCAAAAATCGGCAATTTCATGTTAAAAATCAGAAATATTATATTAAAATCAAAAATATTTATTAAAATTGGAAATATTATATTAAAATTGCCAAAAAATCAGACAGCCATATTAAAAAGGGCAAAAATCTGATTTTTATTTATTTGACCTGTGTATATCTGTAGAAAATACGTTATAAACGTATGAATTTTAATATACTGTAGAATAATACGTATACCGTATCCTTCATTTACAATATTTTTGTGAACCGTATACAAAATACTGATATACAGTAGAAATGGTATACGTTATAGACTTATGAATTTAATATACCGTATCACACAGTATGTTTACCGTATACTTTATTGTATTTTTTACTAAACACATTTTGCAAACAGTATACATTATACTGATATGCCGTATGTAAAAATGCGAACTGTATCAAAAATACGTATATACAGTGTAAAAACCGTATACATATTTTTTATAGGGTAGGCGTCTATCATCCTGAAGAGATTTATTCAAAATATATTATTCAGGTAGCAGGAAAGGGTTTTACGGTAATTGATCATCCATCTAAAGTTTATGGATTTTCTGATATTCACAAATGCATTGATAGGAATCTGCCTCTTCGCCTGGTTTTAGATATTGATGCAAGGCAGTATTCTGATCCCATGAATTTTGAACTTCCTTCTTTAGATGAATATAAAATTTCTTGCAAAAATTTATTATCCAGAATCTTAATTGCACTGATATTATAAATTCTGATTTAAATCATTTCATAATATTAGATGCATTTGCTTTAGCCAGTTTGTCTAATGCTAATAAATGCAATTGGCATATTTGTATCCTTATACCCATTTTATTGATTATAGAGACCTTGAAGGTTTTGTAAAAAAAGTTGCTGATAGAGTTGGAAAACCATACTCAGTTTTTATTGATTTTGACCTTTATAAATCTTGCTTCAGCCTTCGTCTTCTTGGAAGACAACGTCAAAAAGACTTTTCTGATATTAATGTTGCTTGAGATGAACTTGATTGCGTAGCTTATACAAATACAGTAGAGGCAAAAATATCGTTCGAGATTACAAGCCATTTCGATATAGTCATAGCCATTACAAATATCGTCACTCCAATTCATGTTGAAGCTCTTGCATAAATGCTTTACCGAATTCGTGACTGTTCTCGTTGTATTATTTTCATGTTCTATCAGAAAAATTTTAATGAGCTTTTTCGCCCACCAGGCCGTGAGAATATTTGAGCAGAACTTGCAAGTGCTTGGCCTAATAATTTACCCACAGCAATAAAAGGACATTGTAAATGGAATAATAATACCATTTCTTATAAAGTTAATGAGTTTCTGGCTGTAATAACATTCATTGAAGTCAAGCATCAGAAATGTCTTTCTGCAAGATATTTTATTGAAAAGCTTTGTAGTCTTATAGTCAGTACAGGTGCTTCTTTCTAACTTATAAAATGGATGAAAACTGAGAAGTTATAGAAAATCATAAAAAAGTTTGCAATGAGATTAGGGTTGAAGCATTAGTTATCAAAAATACGGATTTTAACGCAATTGCTACTTTCTAGAATCTTAGTCCTGAAGAAGCTGAAGTTCTTAAATTTGACCAAAAACGTTTTATTGCAGATACTATGGCACTTAAACGTTTTTATATGAGGAATCTTTATTGCAAAGACATGAGTATCGAGGATTGGAATAATATTTGCAATAGAAAATTCATTGAAAATTTTAGTTCACCTGAATCTCAGAAGCATTTCTTACAATTGTCTTATTTTCGAAGGCAAGGTCATAATGAAGAGAGCGTAATGAAAGGATTGAAAGTTGAAGAAAATATACAATGGGAATTTGCCTGCTATAGAGCTGAAAAGAATCTGAAAAAATTAGTAGCAGTCTTACCAAGCATTTTGACAGATAAAATTTGCTCCAAATTATATAAAACATATAAGAAAGAAACTGAAAATGAATCATAGCAATTACCAAAAGCTGTGATAAATATGTTAGCAGAACCTTAAGCCTCTGATTTCAAGCCTATCATTACCTTCAAAGCCAAACCTGATCCAGAATTAATTATTAAGTCTGTCTTAAAGCATTTCACATACTTAAAATTCTGAAATAGTTTTAGAAGAATTGATAATTATAATTTTGCATTACCTCAGCCGTAGAACTCGCCATGCCCTATTTGCAATGGAAAACATGGGAATTATGGATTACATGGCTCATGGTATAGAAATGAAACAGAATATTGTCTTACTTACTTCACTTCAGGCAATAAATTCAAAGTCGCAATTGTGGCTTAGACCGATCATGTGAGATCGATCACCTGAAATGTGCAGAATAAGGGCTGTGTGACAGCAAATTTATGTATCAGTTGTTTCGACAATGTTTTTATTTCATAAATTTTATAAATAAAGTACTTACCGTATATAGCGGGCCACAGTACCCCGGGTATCTTGCAAAAATCGGGGGTTTGACCCTGTACCCCCGGGTACTAAACAAAGNTCTAAGTTTCTGCAGGCCATTTCTGCAAATGTACCGTATATAGCGGGCCACAGTACCCCGGGTATCTTGCAAAAATCGGGGGTTTGACCCTGTACCCCCGGGTACTAAACAAAGCCTAAAAATTCTGTTTTTTGCGAATATCTCACGATCTACCAGTCCAATTTGAACGATCTTTTTTTTATTTTGAAGAGTTCAATGAGAGCTATCAAACAAAAAAATGATGGCTCAAATCTGATCACTAAATCACGAGATAATTGTAAAATATCCCCCCGGGTACTATACAATTCTATGAAATTTTTCAAGGGGGGTACTATGCATAGGGGTACTATGGCCCGCGATATACGGTATATATACAATAAAAAAATATTACAAATCATTTATGTTGTTGTAAGCTAAAAGCATTTCCATATTTGTCTCATTTGTACGAGATGATGTCACTATTGACAGATTAGGTGAGTAGTGGGAATTAGGGGGCTTTTTTGGCTATACAAGAAAGCATTCTGAATTAATTTTACTTTGTTAATACTATCATAGAATTGATTCACTTCTAAATAATGGGTAAGCTCATTAAAATCAAATATTCTTTAGTCTTCCTATTAATGACGATTATAAAGTTTAACTGAGCATCATAAACATGATCGTATTTTTCAAAATTTTGCAGTTGTAGATATTGCTTTGGATTGGCCATGAACAGGTGGTTTTCATTATGAGATGGGCGAGTATGAAAGTAGTACTAATTCTGATTCAATTTTTATAGTAACATTTGTGATACAATATAAATGGCAGGCCTGTGCAATAAATGAATTTCTCGCATATAGTGAGCTTTTTGCAAATAAAATTTTTTTATCATACTTGTCCTCACATACGCTAGTTTGCACCAATAAACATTCCACAAAAAAACAAAAAATACTATATAACTCAAACATGTCTCACTTTATTCTGTCTTGTCAAAAGCAATACACTCACAAACGCTTTCGAAGTTGATATTAAGAAGAACAAATCTATTAGCAAGCTCAAGGATGCTATAAAGGCGAAAAAGTATAAAACTTTCACTAACGAACTCAAACTTTGGAAGATAGAAATACCTGAAATCTATGATTAGGAGTATTTACCATATAATTCCCGTCAAAAAATTGTTCTTGAGCTATACATTTGGCGAATTTGGTTAAGAAGAGAACTGGTGTTCATAATAGTTTTTTAGAATTAAAAACGCATAAATTATTATTTACGTACTATGATTTTGCGTCAAACTTTGATCTGAAGTATCCCTGTAGATTAAATTTTTTGCTCATGCAGATATTTCAATGGTGCATATCAGGGGAAATATATTAGATCGTAAGTGCATGTTTTTCTAAGTTCAAAAACATTTTTTAAGAATAACTTCTGATCTACTCAACTGATTTTTAGGATCTTTTTTTTATTTGATGAGAATAACAAGATCTATCAAACAAAAAAAACTCTACAGCTACTAGATCACGTGATGGAAACTTTTTGGTTCGAACTGAATCCAAATCAAATTGAATCTGCAGAGCGAAAATCTGATTTGTACGGAACACTATGAGATCATATTTATAAGAGAAATTTCAGAATAAACTATATAACGAGTTTACGACTTACGTTTTAATTCATTGATGGCACAATTTTATGAGAAAAATGGATTATATATGGAACAAAAAAATTCTGTATGAGTTGATCCAGATAATAAAGCTACGTGGATTACTTATAAAATTAAAGGTATAGCGAAACTTTTCAACATTCCATATGACAAGTGGAGAAGTGTGATCGCTCAAGAAGACGCTATGTTAATTGTAAAGAAAAATATAAAAAGTATGTATATCTTGGTCTAATACAGATACTTAGTTATGTTAAATTTAAACTTAATTATTGCTAGACAAATGTTCCTCTGAGATAAAGACTGACGCCAGGAATGATATTTCTCATATTATTGGAAAATGGTTTAAACTTTTAATGGATGAATATAATATAGGTTTGGAATCTATTAAACAAGCGAAAAATATCAGCTGGTTATACAACAAAATTAAAAATAATCATGCAGTTCAGTCGAGAGTTTCCAACTTAGTTAGAGGTCATGGGATGGAAATTGAAGAATTTGAGATGTTGTTTTCATATAAATTAGAAAGAAACGAGAAGGGTCACTGAGCCTCTCTAAACAGAGGTGCAATAGCATTAGTACGTTTTCAGCAATTACAGCATGTTCTTAGAATATTGCACTTAGCACTTGATCAACCACAGGGCTTTCTGGAAGCATTTGAAAAATGTGCAGAATGGATATATGTCATCGGGCTGGTAGTGCGCCTCGCTACGCTCCTCCCACCTCGGCCTCACGGCCTCGCAGTACCTACATCCCCCTTCGTGGGGCAGGTTTACCTGCCACAGTACCATGGTCTGCCACGGTATTTTTCCACTTATTTTTTTTTCTACATTTTTTCTTATATATAACTTACTATGACAACTATGGCAGCTATGGCAGACTACTTAAAAACGGAATAAAAATGCGAATAAAGCCGAAATCAGACAGAATCTCCTGCCATAGTACCTGCCATAGTACAACAAACCTTATAATAATACTATGGCATCCTTAGTCAGCCCCTCAAACCCCAAAACCCGATTCACGTTATGATTACCATTTATATACTCACCTAGACCCCCAAGTATGACCCCCTATGTCCTGAACTATGGCACCCGAACTATGACCACTTGCCCCCGTCAGAAAAAATATATTCGGCAATTGAAGATTAGGTAACTATAAATTAGTACTCGATTTGATATAACAAAAAATGGCATATACTGTAAAAAAGTTGGCAGGAATCTTTGGCTGCACAGTCCCTGATCTTATGGGTATCAATAGGGAGATTCTAAAAAGCCACCAAAACCCGCACGCAGTATCAGTAATCCCCGAACTTGTAGGCCATATCCTGGAATGTATTCCAAGTATCAATTTTGGACCGCATCTTCTAGAAGTCAGCCCAATCTGGAGAGCCGAAGCTGAACAAGTACTCTGGAAGCGGCATAAAGAAGCTGAGGAGGTATACAAACAGGCAGTAGACTACTACAGAGAGGCCATTGACAATTTCAATGAAGCCGATCAGAAAAAATACACTAGATTCGCAGGAATGGTGGCAGTAGAAAAAGCCCTCCTCAGATGTGGCTTTATAACGCAAGAGTCTAACTGGGAGAAATGGACTCAAATAACGTATAACATCTAATTGCTTAAGGAAGGTCGTATTCTTGATGACTCGGATGATGAATCAGATGATGGAGAGGTATCTCTCGATGACTCAGATGATGAGGAATACTTTTAGAAGGCGGTACTAATCCGTCTTTCTCTTTTTTGCCTCCTTAAGGCATTTATCAATACATTGTTTACACGCGTCATCAGCCTCTAAAATTTTTTGCCCGAGTTTTTTGCATTGCCGATTATACGCCGTTTGATGTCTTTTAGCCGCGGTTTCTTTTTTCTTCTCCTTGGTTTTTTTTTGATAACCCAGTCTATCCCAGTAAAAGTATTCTTATGCATCCCACAAACTACACAGTCACCATGTAAATGATAGCGGCCATTTGTGGTCATATCTTGTATTTCACTAGCAGTCTCAGTTTCCTTCTTACACTTTAGGTAATAAAATCGTGTCATCTTAAGATTTGAAGTCCGAAATCTTTCCTTTAATTTGTCGTAATATGTCACATTTAGAGAATTACTACAAGTACTACAGTCTATCCGGAATACCGGCACGAATTTTAAAAGGTGAGGAGCACTACAACCTATACAAAAAGCCCCTAAAGGAGAAGTCATCAGAGCGTCCACGAGTAGTTGTATGGAAACCAAATGCAATGCATCAGGCAGATCTCGCAGAGGTGTCAGTCGACCCCAAAGGATTCCACTATTTCCTCGTAGTGGTAGAAGTCACGGGTAAACGAGTTGACGCAGAACCCCTAAAGGATAAAACTGCAAATAGGGTTCTCAATGGATTTGTTAAAATCTACAGAAGAAATCGCATTAAGCCACCAACACATCGAATAGAGACAGACTCTGGATCAGAATTAACCAATGATCAGGTACGTGATTTTTTCCTGAACAGCCTAGGGGTGATGATGAGGTTTGGAGATCCGGGAAGATACAAACAGCAGTCATATGCCGAACGAGCTATCCAAGCTATTCAAGAACCTCTTCTCAAACGAATGGTGGCACAGGAGTTGAAGACCGGGGTGACATCCGTGGAATGGTCAGAAGATTTCCATGATCATCAGCAAGTTTGAAAAGTGTTGATTCACACCAGTATACGCGTTGATCAACACCAGCTAGTTGTTCAACACGTTTTACAATATTAATC